GGAGCAGGACAGAGGACAGCACCCAGGAAATGATGGGGTCTGAAGACAGAAAATGGGCAGCCTCCTTACCCTCTCTGGGCACAGATCCCACATTTCTCAAGTGCTCTGGCAGGGGAGAGCCCTGCCATGCCCAGATTGGAACAAACTCTGTTGTTCTGCTGTCTTGCTGAAGGTTCTTGAAAACTCTTAGGTTCAAAAAGATGACTCCCAGATTTGAAACTACAGATCATGAGAAACCACAGGGTATGAGGAACCTAAAACTGGATTTCAGTTTCATTCCCACATGTTCATCTGAACAATCCTGGAAAGCCTTGCTGTGATCTGTGGGCTCTGAATGCAGCAGTGTGACAGCCCCTGCCCTGCTGAGTCAGCTCTGGACAGAAAAGGGGAACCACATCCCCACCATTCTTCATCCTCGTTTCCTTTGGGATATCAGGACCAGCCTGAACTAACACCCTCTTGCTTGAGGCACAGCCCTTGGAAGGACACACCCTTGGAAGGACACCCTGACTACCAAGTATTGCCACTGTGACTAAACCAGAACCTCTGGTTGTTTTACAAACAGCAGTGCAGTCACAGCCCCTGATGTCAGCATCACCACTGCTGCCAGGGAATCAGTGTCACATCCTAATCCATGATACCTCCCCAAGGCTGGGGTTTTATTTTGTTTGGATTCCCACACTCCCACCCTGAGTTGCCATTTACCTCATTATTTCTCAGTTCTGAGATGCCATTTTAGGTGTAAAATTTGGAATTTCATTTTTTCAGATCACCTCTCCAATGAGATGAAACTGCTAAAATCTGACTCTATCCTTTCAAGATAAGCAAACATTTTGAAAGTTTCAGAATTTTCAGATCATGAAATGAAAACACTGAAGATGACTTGATAAAAAATTGTTTCCTTCCCATACACTCAGTAAACATGTTCATGTTATTTTCCAAATGTGGTTTTCTCTAATCTGCGTTTCCTCACCTTCTTTATAAGAATGTCATTCAGTACAACATAAGGAACCTTATTAATGTCAAAATGTAGGACATCTACTGCCTCCAGCAACTAGCTCTGCTGTTCAGAAATGGTCCAGGCTCCACCACACGGGATCCACTCAGGAACAGGAGTTCAGGTTCCAAATGGAAAAACAGTCCCACAAAGAGGAGATATTTGCCTTGGCAGAGGGGAGATGCACACAGTTGACCAGCTTTGCAGACTAAAGGTTTAAAAATACTTATTGGGCAAATAATTCTGTTGCTCATTTAAAACCACAACCATTCCAACTCCTGCTGTGAGTGCCCAGAGGTGGTTTTTCTCTGCAGACTGTGCCCCTGGCAGTGGCTCTGAGCTGGCAGCAGCCCCCAGGGCTCCTCCCTTGGCAGCAGAGGGTGTGAGGTCCCACCGTGCTGTTTATCACCAAACTGAGAGGCTGCAAGTTCACCAGAGTGTGGATTTTGGGAAGCTTTGAAAAAATCCAGACATTTTGAGAATAGATGGAATTTTACAGATATGTAGAAAACTTCTTTTCCTTGCTCAAGAGCCCTGTGATAATCCCACCCTCGCTTTATACATGAAAAAACAGCTCTCAAGTCAGTGTTCCCCCTCTTTTGTGCAATGAACATTCATAAGCAAAAAAGATTCTCACAAAATCTGAGGTCCTAAAGCTGGTACTTTAGAAATACTTTAATGGAAGAGATGGAAGAATTAAGACTGACCATTTAAAAAGAATGAGAATGAAAACTGAATTTAAAAAGCAAATTTGAGACCATGGGAAAAAACTAAGAGCTACAGTGGAGAGGAAACTCAGAAACTCCATAATCCACAGTAAGATCCTAAACAGCATCCCCTGTGTGTACAGAGCACAGCAATGGAGTATTCAGGGTATGACAAAAGCTGAGAGAGTGAAATTCCTACTTACAGCACTTCTGACAGTGCTGCTGACACCTCTCCTCTTGTTCACACAACCTGCCTCATTACCCTTTTTTACCCCCAAATATTTCAAGGTGGAAACAGAAAACTTGTATTTTCAATCCAGGTTGAAAAACCCCTCCACTTCTAAATATTTTATTTTATATATAAATTACCTTCTTATATTTCACTCTAAAAACCTGAAAGCTCACATAATCAACATCAACCATACATAATGTGAACCGTGGGTTACGTTTTAGGAAGATGGGAGCCTTTCCTCCTGTTCAGAAAAGGGAATACTGTCCAAGGCATCAACCCCAATACGCCACCTTTTCTCTCTAAAATACCCTCGAAGTTACAGAACTTTTTTTTCATTCTTTACTATCATCAATTTTCAGAGAAGTCATACAGAGCATACAGATAGGTAAAAAATGGATGTGGAATGAATAACCCTGTCCCCTACATGAAATATTCAACCATTAGCAAGATTTATGGAAGCACAATCATGCTTCCATAAACCAGCGTATCTGTTCTTACAAAACAGAAAGTTCTGGGATATCTATCTGATCATACTCATCCCCAAGGTCTTTTTGCACCAGCTTGAGCAACTTAAAATGCAACAAGATGTAACTCAGCTGCAGACACTCAGTAAATAACACCCAATAATTTCCTCATCAAAAACTGTTGCAAATAAAGAGAACTTCAATTATATTTAAACATGTTCAACTAAATTGTTACATTTATTCTGAAAACCAGACTGAAATACAATAAAACCAGTTTTAAAAATTAGTCATTATTTTTGCATTTCTTCCCTCAGTTGTAATGCTGTATTGTTGAACTGGGCTGTGTTGAGGGATTTAGAACTGTCAGTCAGGAGGGATTTCCTGCTCTGAACGTCAAGGCACTGGTGCCAAACTGGGGAGAGTGCTCAGACAGTGACAGGAGAAGGATCCCCGTGAGCAAACACAAAGCTCCACAGCCCTTGTCCAGATGGTCACTGGAGCAGACCAGTCACACACCTCTGCCATCCAAGAGCAGCCATCAGGAAGGGAGTGCCCAAGTGTCCCTGTGGGCAGGAAGGGTCATTGAGCCCCCTGCCACAGGGGTGACAGCAGCTCTGTGGGAACAGCCCTTACACTGATGGCACCTTCCCATTCCCATCCAAGGCTCTGGAATACAAATCCAGCCAGCTCTGGATCACCACACCTCAGCCATCCCAGGCACTGGGAGAGCAGCAACCCTGAGCCCCAAAGAGGGGACACCCCCTCTGAGCGTGTGTCCCGTGCAACAAGGACGTCTTCAGGTGAGAACATCCTTTAGACTGTGACAGCTCTCACTCAGTGTTTATTTGCTCAGATTTTCAAGGATGAGGACTCTGCACCTCTCTCAGCCACATCAACCAGGAAACCACACTGACTTCAGCTGTCCCCAACAGGCCAAGTCAGAACTGTGAAGTTCCACGTGCACTGTAGGAAACAACAGCAACTTCCCGACATCCATCCTGCTGCAGACAGCTGCAATGCAGGGACAGATCCTGAGACAGCCAAGGGGCTCAAAATAGTCCAGGTTAAAGCACACAGAGCTCCACATCAGCTCATCTGCCCTTCTTTGAGTTTGTAAGAACAGATGTACACTATCTGCTAATTATCTTCCTCTGTGCAACTGATTCTGATATTTTGCTCAGATATTTTTACAGCACACTTTGATATTTTTATCATGATTGGAAAAACAATTTAGATAAGGAACGATCTAACTAAAAGGCTTGCCTAGTCATCATTCTCATAATTATTTAGGGCTTACATTCATCCTTCCTTTGGAAGCAGTTTGTAATCTATTCTGAACAGCTCACTAGGGATGACAGTGCTCAAGCTGAGAGCTGAGCTTACTCCTTCGAAGGTCACACGCTCTCAGAATAGCCAATATTCACAAGCAAATTTGGAAATTTGGAGATATAACAACAGAATGACAGGCCTTGGATACAAGGTATTACCTCCTTAACAGACTGAGTTCATTTTTGGCTGGTCAAGTGGCCTCATGTGTTGGCTCATGAACATGTGGAACCAACAATGGCATATTTTCAGTCCCAGCTGGAGCACCCCTAGTGAGCTTTGTTCTACCTTCTGGCTAAAATACTTGCCACAATCATCCAAATCCCTGAAGGAAAAAAGGATTTAGAAACAAAACAAATTCAAAAACAAAAGCACACAGAACAAGCAGCTGCTCTAGGTTGTCTAAATCCCTGTGTTTAAGGAAAACATGCTGCATTCCAAACCACAGTATTTCTCCAGTAACAGCAAGTGATACCACAAAATGGCTTTGTTCCTGTAGAACCTGACACCTTCCTCATCTCCAGAGCCACGGTAACACCACAGGATCACTCACAAGAACACTTCCCTGTGCCAAGAACCAAAGGTACAGGAGTGGCCAGAGGAGCCTGGCTCAGGGCAGGTGCTGGCTGATGCTCCAGCAGGGAACCTGCACCAGCCCTGGCAGAAAAGCTCATCTTCCAACTGCACATTTCATACCCAGGAAAAAAAGGGCTGCACTCCTCATGAAGCAGAAAAACCAGAAAAGCTGCTTAGAAAACAGCATTGCTTTATGGAGTAGTATTCACAGGTACAGCAATACAAGAAAGCACTTGTTAAAAAATCAGCTAAGGAACATTTTACTGTATTTAACTGCCTACATTTCTGCATCATCTTCATTACTATTCTATCTGTAAACCAGTGTGTTTATCCAGTGAAGAATGACCAAAAGCAAGACCATGGTTGATTCTATCTGACCACCAACACCACACTGGGCAGGAGTTGTTCACAAGACCCAAGCTCAAGTTTTAATTGGCCTGGAGAGCTCCCTGTGAAAGCAAACCAATTTAAAAAGCAGGAAAACATGTGAAGGTGCCTGTTCACATATGGCCATTAACACTACGAAAATCATCCTTAAATGATAATTACATCACTGCTTTTACAATTTGATGTTCTGCAAAACTACAGCCATACCATTTGTAACAGGTATATCGACCTCATTTATCAAATATCTTTTATTAAATTCCTTAAAATCAAAAGCAAGTTGGCATCCAGCCACAGAACAAAGTCTCCCTGAGTACAGTTTCAAGGCCAAGTAAGAGCTAGTACATATGTAAATATGTGCAAATAGGAGCTCACTGTTCGCTTACAAAAAGACTTATCTTCAAAAAAACGTGACTGGAAGTCTGTTCATGCCTCACTCAGCAGCACAAATCGACAGAAACAGGCACAGTACAAATGCTACTTACATTTGCATCACTTTCAAGATCCCCATTCAAAAGAAAGGGCTTTTTTTTTTAAGTATGATATTTTTAAATATATGATTTTGTATGTGAAAATAGAAAAATTGAAACACTGACAGGCATTTTGATCTCCCAGTCATCTTCTCTCAGATTTCTAAAATTTCCCATGTTTTGCTGTGTTCAGAATTCCTTTACACTCATAATGAAACACACAGATACAACATTAACAGCACCATTTTATTTTTTTAAGAATGCTACCATATTTAGGAGACACCTTATAATTTTACAATGAAAGCAAGTTTCCCACAGCTATACAATAAATTCCACAGTAGTATCACCAGTACATGAGGAGTCATTGAAAGGGGAAAAAAAAAAGGAAAAAGGGGTGAAAAGAGGGAAATAGGGGGAAAAGGGAGAAAATAAGGAAGGGGAAAATAAGGATGGGAAAAGGGAAAAACCGAGAAGGCTCTGATGTACACAGCACCACACAGGGTAAAATGTATATTCTGGACATAGTGAGATAGAAGTTTTTCTGCCATCATGGAAAAATGTTAAACCCACTTCTTTAACACCATCTTCCCATAAATGAATAAAAATAGAGATAGTGAAAAGATAATTCTTCTTGGAGAGCAAGAGAACAGACTCTGATGTTGGTTTTACCAGAGAAAAATATCGTACATTTACCTCTAACACTGTTGATCCTTCAAGACTTGCAGAAAGTTGTTGTTGAAACCTGAAAGGAAAATAATCCTCTAGTTACTACACGTGTATAGTGCCACCACCACCTGCTACAGCAACAGAAGTGACTTACAGCATAAACACAGTGCACTTGCAGCACTTTGATGCTCCCCTGCACATTCCTGTTAACTGCATGTGGAGAATGAAAAGGTCCTTGCCATGGATCCCATGCCTGGCACAGTAATTCTGACACAACAGGAGCCACCAGTGTCACTGTTTACATCACTCGTTTTTGCTCTGCAAAGAAAAGAAGAGAGAGAGGGACCACAGTAAAAAGAAAAAGAAGAATCTCCCCAGAACAGTGATAGATTGTCTGTTAGGAACAGGTTACAAAGGTCCAGGCACAAAAAACCCCCAAAGGAATAAAAGAATTCACAAGCAAAACTGTTCCTTACCAGCACTTCAGGATGGCTCAGGCTGCCAGTGCCACATCCTGCTCCTGTGTAACATCAGTCCCTCCAGAAGCACGTGCTGAGGAGCCCCGAGTGCTGCAGGATCTGGGCACCAACAAACTCCTGTTCCCTTGGAGTGCTCCGAGGTCACAGCTCAGCTCCCTCAGGACATTCAGGTGCCTGATTTGCTTCTATGAAACTGGTTCCCACAGCAGCCCATAAGAGGTGTTTGCCTTGACTAAAGCTGTGTCTGCTGTTGAACAAATACTCACTTTTCATTCACTGTCAATTAACTGTTCAGGAAAACCAGCTGAAAGTGGGGATTTTACCAGGAAATTGTTGTGTGAGGTTATGCAGAACCCACCAAATACTCAAATAGTCATCTCTGACACATCAGTGAAGTGCCTGGATTCATTCAGTACTTGATTCCATCCCAGCAGTGGTTCCATCCCAGACCACCACTGTTCCAAGGTGTTATTTCAAGGCTGCCCAGTCCTCTGGAGCACAGCAGCAACACAGTGTCAGAGTGGAAAGGCTTGTTCCAGACACAGAGCTGAGCACTGACTGCCATCAGCTCCTTGTTTGCTGTGTTCTGTTCCCCTGTCTCCATGTGAGATTCTTGCCTGGGCTCAGGGAACAAATGGAACTCTGGCTGCAGGAACACATCAGTCCCAGGATGGCACAACCTGAACAGTGGCAAATGCAAGCAGTGGTTGCTCTGCAGCTGGAGAGCAGGAATATGACACAATACAAGTTCCAAAGCTGTTGCCTAAACAAATGTATTTCCAATATATTCCTGTAAACATGATATTCATATCTGTGTTCCATACACAAGAAAGACAACTGGTATGTTGTGCAGTCACAGAATAGAAGGAATTGCCTTTAAAATGTGTATAATAAGAAACATGTTACTGAGACAAACATCATAATGAAAATTCTGAAATCATCATCCAGGGGGAAAGAACCCTTATTTTGAGACTTTTAAAACCTTAATAAGTGACTGAGAATGACAAAGTATTCAGAGACACTTCAGTGGGTGTGGTGGGAACAGGACCCGGGTATGAACGAGGAGAGATGGAACAGAGCACACACATGAGATCACACCTGCAAGGAAAACCAGAGAGTTTAACTCCAACCCAAAACTGCCTCTGTCAAACAGCACTGCTTGCACAATGTACTGATTTATTCACAGCATTCTCAGGATATTGTCATTCGCTTCCATGACTCACAACTTACATTTTACAGCCCAGGCTGCACAACACTTAGACTGTTTCAGATTAGTACCAGCACATACTTCTTCTGGGGCAGAGGCAGCAGGTCAGGACAGTGGAAACCACCCACACAACGTGGCCCTTTCCACAAGTGCAATTCCACTTCTTCACCCTTAGGAGGGTCAGGCACTGGAGCCTCCAGATGTTTCACACCCTCCATCCCTGGAGGTTTTCTAGACCAGAGTGGCCAAAGCTCTGAGTGACTTGGTGTGACCCCAGAGCTGGCCACGTTCTGAGCTGATTAGAGACCTCCTGAGGTCCCTTCCATCCTGAATCATTCCTGAATATACCTTGAAATGTAAGCACATATTCATCTACTGAGTGACTTCTCTTTCCCCACATAAAAACACCAGACCTAAATTATTATATAAGAAAAAAAGGGGCAAAGCCAACCCCCAACTCTTTTATAAATACAACATAAACGACAAAGACTATAATCTTTATGATTTCTCTCAACCACTTAGACATCCCTTCCTTTGTTAATCCACAAAGCATATTTTGGAGGCTACTTAAGAGTAGTAACAGTATTATTGGTGTTTCATTTTTACTCAGAACAAATGTACATCATGAGAAAGTTTATCTAAGAGTGACAATTTTTCATACATAAAAGATCTCTTGGATTTCCATCCAAATAATTTTGGACAGTGTGTCAGATCCATACTGAATACTCTGAGTGGCATATGTATCAGAAATATTTCTAAAACTAGAACAGTTTTCTTGTGTAGACTGGCCCACCACTGCCATGTCCCAGTCAATTTGCAATGGCACTTTCTCACATCAATTTAGTGGTGTTAGACTGACACAAGAATTAGCCGGGGGATAATTCCCCAGCACTACCAGAAGTTTGATAATACTAAGGCTGAACTCTTTAAAAATTACTTACTATTGTCATAAGCAACACTAACTCTGAAATCAACATAAAGACATCACAAAATGGGACGGTATCCAATAACAGAAAGTAGCTTGTATTTTCTAAATACAGGTGGAATTTGATCAGTGTGAACTGCCAGTACCAAATATCACTGAGCAACTGAACCAAATTAACGTGTTTCACAAAGCTCTCATCATTAGAAATGCACAATATATTGAGCAAAGCAATGAAAAGATTATAATTTTTAACTTTGCCAGTGCTTCAACTAATTCAATTTCTACTGTGTTATTCCACCAAAGTAAAATGTTTTCCAGGCTTGTCTGCTTGAAAAGCCAACCCTTCTTTAACCCAAATCTAATGTCATAATCAAAGCAAAAGATTATTTTATTATTCCCTCTGGCTTCTACTTGCTGAAACAAAACCAATGAAACTGTTTTCCTGTTCAGTGACTGAAAATGCAGTATGTTGTATTTGAGCACCAGTAGGAAAAAGAAAACTTGCAGTTTGGGAAAAACAAAACTAGATCACTCAAACAAAAAACTCCACCTTGATGGAGAACAAAGATTCCTCTCTGGAACAGAGGCCCCTGAGGAGGGTTCAGCTCACGTTTCAGAGATGAAGCTCCAATTCTTGTTCTGGAAACTTGGACCAAATGGAGCAGTATCAGGGACAGCAACCCAAGCCCAGAGCACCCTGCAAGTCTGCAAACTGAGTTCCCTTCAGAGCAGAGCCCCTGAGCACTGTGACCCCTCCCCAGTCCCTGCTGGGAGGGATGTGCCAGAGGCTCTGCCCTGAGCCCAGTCTGGGCACTGCTGGTTTGTGAACAGGCCACAGCTGCTGGTCAAACTCAGCTGAATCCACAGTTTTACGACAACTCAAATGTTCATTTTCTTGTCCTTCCCCCCGAATGAATTCAGCATTAGCAGAACTGTTGGAGCTGCTGTTTTCAGTGGCCAAGTGCAAATCACAGACTGACAACAGACTCAAAACTGCCTTCCTGTTCCTACAGGTTTTGCACACTCAAAAAGTCATTTCTTAATGTATGTACTCTAATTTGATGAACAGTTATAGTTACCCAAGAAATCTACTTCTCCTTGCTGAAACATTCTGATGAGTAAAAGAGCATCTGAAGCCATATATAGGAGTGCTTAATTTTTAAATTCTAAAATCTAATGTTTCCAGACAGATGCTTGTCTTGGGCTTTAAAATTATGGGTAAATAGTTAATAAACTATTTTTTAAGATAAAAAGCTCAACATTTTGAAACTATTTCCCTGGGGAAGAGCCATAACATAAAGAGGGTTTGGCCATTAGCTACATCTTCATGGGTTTCTCAACTGAGTACCTTTTGCTTCTTTATACCCAAAAGACATCAGGAACAGACTATAATCTGATCAGTGAGTAAAATGTAAATCAACTATGTTTTGCATTCTCAAAAGGAAAACTAATTTATTTCCTTTAAAACAGTGAGACAGATGCTGGGGGGAAAAAGCATCTTAAAAAACCATTTCCTATCTTAGGAAATAAAATGACTGTAGGAACATATTTGAATTCTCTTCACAGGTGTGTGATCACTACAAGATAATGACAGTTTACATTGTCTTCTGAAGCAAAAGACCTGAGGTCAAGTGATTCCAGCACCTGATCAATATTCCTATTTCATAAGAGCTGGAGCATGTTGAAGAAATTATTTCATTTTGAGAAAGGCAATAGAGTGCTTAAGGAACACGATACCATGGAGGAGAAGGCATTGTGAGCTCTCAGTGCCACTTCCATCACTTACAGTGGCGTAAAAAAATATTTTTAAAAGAAGAACCAAACCATATGTGCACTGCAAGGAACATAACAAAAATAAACTACAGTCTCCCATCACACACTACACAGACCTAAGATATGTAACAATATCTCAGATGTCTCTTCCAACAGCACTTACAAATATTTCTTTTTCTTAAAGAAGTCACCAGTTACAAAGTATTCAAAAGGATACCAGACCTACAGAAAAACATTTGCCTAAAGTATGAGATGTTATAACACAGATCCTAAATAAAAAGTGAATTTACCTTCTAAAATTCATACCTTTTCAAAACAGTCTGTAAAGTGCCAACCCATCAGCCTTCAACACGTCCACATGATTTCTTGGATATAAGATTATCAGAGTTTCTGTTACAAATACATTCTTTTTCTTTTGGAAGACATCTTTCTGCGGCATCAGAAACACCTTCCTGGACATGTCATTTTTTCCTCAAACCTTAGCAAATGAATTTGGTTCTTTCTGAATATGGACTCTTTGAGCTGGGCCCTTTTTGTTTCCAATAATCTTTTGATAAAAGGCAGGGTCATCCATAATAAGAACAAATGTACTCTAGTTCAGACTGGCTATAAAAGGCAAAATGCATTAGAAGTTTTAAAACCATGTGTTTTGTTTCTGTATCTTTATGATTCCATATATTCTCCATATTCAACTGTGGAATGATAAAAAAGGAAAAAAAAAGGCAGTTCAGTCTATATTGCTTAAATGGTCCAGGGTTGGTAAGCAGAGCTAAGATATTCCTATATTGGATTCCCTTTTAAATTGAACTCCAGGTTGCTTCAAAGGCTGAGTGTGTTGCAGAGCTCCTGTGGAATTCTCTCCTCATTTGCAAACAGTGCATCACCTTGTTTGTGCTCTGAGAGCTCCCAGGATGTGCTGCTGCAGGGATGTACTGAGACAGAATGCAAATCAGCAAACACTTCCCTCTTGCCTGCCTGCAGGGTGATATATTCTGGATTTCTTGATTTCCAGCCTGAAAGCCTGACTAAAGCCCCCAGCTTTGGGGCTGTGTGTGTGTTCCCAAAACCTTCCCAACACTGGTTCACTTGTACACAACCCACCCTGGTCCTGTGCACTGATGGGCTGAATTCCCTTCCTCTCTTCAACTACCCAGCAGTCACCTACCACTGGGATTATTTTAGCTCTTTCTGAATCATCCTATCTGCACACTGAAGAGGAGTCAAGGATTTCCTGTTCACTGCCACTGTGCATTATGCCACTGAAATTATACCTCTTCTCAACATACTTGAGATGAAATTACTGGGGACAAATAAAGAACAAAGGATCTGTCCCAAGGAAGCCACACTAAAAGCTCATGTTGCCAAAATGGACAATGTGGCTACAGAGCCAGAATTCACCACTGTTTGCTAAACAATCTATGACCCTTCCCACCCTCAGTGCTGAATTGTCACAGAACCCCCATTAGGACATCCAAACACTGATGATGAAGAAGACAGAAAAGGGGCACTTGGATAACAGCAGCTCCTACTGACAGAGGAACATCCTTCCCATAAGGGCCATGATGCCAAACACACTCAGCTGAAGAGACACAGGATACAGCCCAGGTTTGATAAAAAGAAAGAAAAAAATAAAAAAAGGAACGGCTTTTAAGATTCTAACCATCAGTAGCCCAAAAGTCACGTGTTTCCCTTCCCAGTTCTGTGGAAGTGCCATGTTCCCATGGCATCTCCTTCGCTGAACACCCAGCCCTGGGATCAGCACAGTTTCTTGCCTGGCATCGAGCACATTTGCCAGGAAGCCTTGCCCAGTCAGCTCCTGGAGTTGTCCCATGCGTCCCTCAGTTCCAGCTCTGATCCATGGCCAGAACTGCCACCTGCAAAGCTCTCCAGGCTCCAGCCAAAGGCTGCTGTCATTTCCTTGCAGCACCTTAGGTGTACTTGTGAAGTCTCCCTGAGCACACAGAGATGACTCATGTTCCTCCTGCTGATGAGCTTCCAAATGATCTGATTGGAAGGTGTCTGATACTGGGCTGCACTGCTGCTGGGAGCAAAGATACTCCTCCAGCTCTGCTCTTCCTGCTTTTTCCAGACAATCCTATTAAACAGCAGGTTTTCCCTTGGATTGCTTCTTGAAAGATAACTGATCTGGCTTCAAACTGATCTGGTTACTCCAAATCAGATGAAAGGAAAATTTCAACCTACAAGTCCCACGTTCTAAGTCTGAATCAGAACAAGTGCTCTCATTGAAAAGCAGAGACAATTTCATTTTCAGTTTTGCATAAGGACTGACCCAGCAGATATTTCCTGGGAATATTTCCCAGGGTGGGTCCTGGAAGGGTGAGAGGCAGGGGATATCTAGTTTGTGAATCCCACACAGATTCAGTCATCTCAGCAGTGCAGGGAGATGGCAACACCTTGCTGACCATTTCAACAGTGCTGGAAAGAGAAAGAAAGGATGTCCTCTGACTCTCCATCCTCCTACCTTACACACTTAACTGGAAAAGAGAAAAACTCCAGGTCTTTGCTACACCAACAATTAAAGGACACTGTCACAACAAAAACATTCTCAATAAAAATCTCTGTAAACCTGAATACCATTATGCCAGCAGTTTCCTTGCACATTATAATCAGCCTAACAGACTGGTAGTGTAGTGACTGGCTGCAGGTATGAAATTCTGAATCAATTATCAATGGAAATTCTATAATGAACTACAAAACCCCCTCAAACAACTAAGATTTGATCTAATCTCAACAGAGCAAAGTCCATCATCCCATTTGCTGTTGTGAATGTCACCACACACAAGGGGTGAGCTTTACTGACAGTCTCACTTCCTTCACTTCACTGTGTAAAGTATTTCACACAACAGTGTCACAAGGGTTTTAACTTACCTGGAAATTACAGTGAATTGCAATGAATGGAACCTGGACACAAATGTAAAGCATGTTCTTAAATGCTCTCTGGCAGAGGAGAAAGAAGTTCAGCTGTACCAAGTTCTTACCCACTGCAGCACAAATTATTATTATTTTGTACTTCAGTGCACACAGAAAACCCACATAATAGTTCATAACACAGAAGTTACTTTAAAAATACACATACTTGCCTACTGTAACTTAGAGTGTGACATTAATCTTCAGAGTGCTGATAATGATCTTAGAGTGTCAAGAAACACACTTGCAATACTGTCTTTATAAAAGGGATCATGAATTGGGTTTGCTCTGATAGATTTCCCTAAAGGTTTTTTGGAGAAAAGAGAGGTTTTAATTCACAAATTTTATCTACACAGAAAGCTCAATAAAATGCCAGCCATTAAGTCAGTGTATATAAACAAACTGCCTTACATGTGTTCAAAGTTTAACTACAGCACAGTGGTTAGGGGAAAAAAAAACCACAACCCCCCTATTTCAAGGACAGTTGTAACCTCTTGCCTTCATTTATAAATGGAAACAAGCTGCCACACAGTTCAGCAGTAAAGGAGGATAAAGAACTGATAATAATCCTTGTGCTCCTCACATGAACTCCAACAAGGCACTTGAATGAGACTTTTAAAGCTGTAAATTGTCCATCAAAACACAGAATAACTTTGCTAATCCCAGTGCCACAAATTACTAATCCATCTGGAAAGCTATTTTTTTCTCATGTGTTTACAAGGATCTAAATGTCATCAGACAGGAAGGCAACTGGGTTAGTAGCATGTTAAAAAAACCTCAACAAACCCTCAAAAATCCCAACCCGACAGAACTAAAGCCTGCGAAGCAGCGGCCCCGAATAAGGAGGATTTGCAGAAGTACTTACAGCTCTCAATCTCCAGCGTGCAGTTCTGCTCATCCAGGGGGTATCTGCGCAGGTCCATCATGCAGGCAGCTGTCGTGGTGATTCTGGGGAGGAACACAAGGGCCTGTTAACGGGTCCTGCTCCAATCTGCCCTCGAGCCCCCTCACTGACAGCACAAACTGTGTTTCTCCACAACTGAACTCGTGCCTGGCTCTGCTGGAACACTGTGCTGCTGCTGCTCACCTGAACCAGGGCTGTCCCAGCCAGGTCAGGCCAGGCTGGGCTCAGAGCTGGCCCTGGCACAGGGATCTTCTCTGTGAGCCCAGCACAGCCTGGCCAGAGCAGGGCAGAAAGGAGAGCACTGCACAGCCCAATTTACAGGCTGGCTCTGAGCTGAAGGCTGACCAAATGAATTAGCTCCAACCAGAAATTCCAAAATGAGGAGGGCACACACCCCCCAAAATGGGACCCAAGCTGGAGTGGATGAAGTGTCCATAGCAAACACCCCAAGCCGTGACAGGGTCAGCAGCTGTGTCTTTGTCAGGTGGACATGAGAGACTGAGGGACTCAGCTGCCTTCTCAAAATCCTGTCCCCCCGTATGAGGGTTACTGGTCTTTCATAGTAAGCATTTAGATATTCAGTAACTGATTAAAAAACTTCTTGTACATTCTTTGTTCTCACAAAACAACTTCAGAGAACTCTTTCATTTGATGGACGTCATACTTTCCCCTTAAATACCTAAGAAATGTTCATTAGAGGTAGAAAACTACAGCTGCCTACTAAAATTGACTCCAAACTTACTTCAGCAACTGTTTTTGTGAGGCACTTAAAAATCTTCACTAGTACCCTTACTGTCCTATCCAACAATGCTTTACTGTCATCTCCAGAAAAAACAATCCCTGTATATTCCTTCAAATAAAAGAGAACAAAAGCAGGGGCAAGTTATTCCTACAAACACTGTCCCGCCTCTTGTCAATCTGGACAAGATCTCTTAATGTTACATTTTGAGCATTCCCAGGAACTGGGCTCTCCAAGAGAAGGGAACCTTTTGGCACTGAGTTCTTTCTTCATTCAGTGTAGGGACACTCACAGAACTGCTTTGGAAAATACAATGTTTTCCATCAGTGTGGGTCCCCACACATGCTTCAAAAGAAAGCTTCCTGGGCTGGACAAAAGCAAGGGAAAAAGAACTTTGGCTCCACTCAGTGAAAGCCTCCCAACTTTTACCAAAACCAGCCTGCAGAGGAATACATGTCTGTTGACAGCAAATGGAGCAAACAGCAGCATATATTGTATGTAAAGACAACCTCTGGCAGTTCATACTTGGTTCCTTATTTTTAAGAGGAAAATCTAAGGAATTGCCCAGATCCAGTATCAGTGTAAGACTGATTATTTTTGGGAAAATTTCAAGAAAGGCGCAGCAAGACCAGAAAAAAATGACAGCTCATGTTTTTTGTTTGACTATGGGGGTTTGGGAGGAGGTTTGGTATTTTGTTTTCCTCAGTATTTCTATATCTATGTGTATGTTACAGTCAGGAATTTCAGAAGAATTTCAGTAGCTCACAGAGGAAAAGGCAGGAGCCCAGATTTACACGAGACATTTATACACACACAAGAATCATGGTCAATACAAACCTGGTTCACCACTAATTTTTCTAACAGCTTCCTCTGCACTAAACATTTCCCACCAGAGTGTACCAGATGTGGGGCTCCCCCCCAGAGCCAAGGCCCTGTCCTGTGCCACCCCCAGCACAGTGTGTGTGTGACTGATGGGAGCAGAGCACCCACAACTCTCCCACACCTGCTGAAGCATTTTGGGGGCAGCAGATACCACAAACGGGGCTGAAGGCTGCAGACAGGGAGAATAAGAGTTCTGGAGGGATCATTATCAAATCATTAAAAGAAACAGTGCCTCGCCTCACCAGAAAGCAGAGAAAAAAGGGGCATGGTAATGGAAATGGTTGGTAAAGCAGAGTTTGAATCAAGCCAAAATGATATATTTAATTCAACTTGCTTGTTCATTCTTATCCATAATACAAATCCATTGAAATAAAATGTCTGTCATTTCCTCTCCTTGTACATCTCTCATATTTTTTACCCTGACTTCGCAGTTATGGTAAAGTAGAAAAAGTTCTCCTTCATCTTTATAATTACTTAAACAACAAAACTACCTTTTGATAATTCTTAGTGGTTTGCAATTCACGGTGAATAGATAAATTGAATTATTAAAGCAAGAGCATGCAAGAATTGCCACCTCAGAACACTTTTAAAGGCAGGACACCTGACCCAAACCTTTTCAGACAGAGTTCATTACAGCAGTTGGGAGTGCTTGAGACAGGCCTAAAGCCTCTTCCCCAGAGCAGAGATACTTCAATTTTCATAAAAGGTCTGAAAATACTTGTTATACAGCCTGGACTAGTGTAAAAAATATAATGTTGTACTTTTCATAATGTAACCTTGAGAAGAAACACTGGAAAAGTGAAAGCTTCTAAAAAACAACGCTGTGAGTGGAGGCACAGCAGGCACTGGGGATGAACAGAACAGCACCCAGAGAAACCCTGGATGGAACAAACACCCCAGCACTGCCTCACACTCATCTCCATCTGCTGTTAGAGGAAGAGATATGATATTTGTGATATTTATGATTCCTACAGTGAAAACAAGTCTTCATCTTCCTCTTCCGTGCTCTGTATTTTGAATGGAGACTGATTACAAAGCACAAAAAAAGCAAACCCTGAAGCATCACTAAACTGACTAAATGAAGGATTATGGAGACCTAAAGAAAACTTCATGTGTCCAAACAAGCAAAGAAACCTGCACCACAACTGATTTGCTGTCAGGAAAGTCTGCTGTCAATAATTCAAAATAATTCATATAAACTATTATTTCTGAGAAAGCTGAAAATCTGCTCATCTCCAAACCTCTAGGGAGGTTCTACAATTCAAATAAGAACTGGAAATTGGCACTGCTCCTTTCACAGGCCAAATGTGAAGGCCATAAAGAACTTTTTTAAACACTTCCAAACTTAAGAGTGATGCAGAAATTAATACCCATATTATAATACCATCCTAGAGGTGTTAGTAGTTCTTATTTTTTAGTGCTATGGAGGGACAGTTTTTCAAAATCCTACACATTTTGATTTTCTGACAAGTTCAAGTGGGATTTGAAATTCAAAATAGCAACTTAAACAGTTCTGACATCACTAGTGAAGAAAAAACAGCACTGGAGGACAGGAGAGCAATGCCAATGACATGTGGAGATGGACGGGATCCAACTCCCTCTTGGAGCTGCAGAGGCTCTGCAGCTGTGGAGAATAAGCAGAACAGAAACTTCCCTGTGCCCTGGAAGGCAGCAGCCCTGCCCTGTCATTACAGGATTACAGACACTGCAGAAATGCTGAGCAAGAAGGTGACAACTTGAGGGCTCTTCTGAGGGACTGAGATCCTTCCAACACCTCTTTTGCTCCAGCCCTGACAGATCAGGGGCCTGTGGAGTCAGAGACTGACTGAGCTGAGGCCAGGAAAATAAACAGACTGATTCTTTCTTTAAATGTTTGCAGGTACATCCTGCTGAAAGCAGCCTGAGGTTCTGCCTCAGCTTTGGGTACCTGAGGGCAGAGACTCCCCACGAGCAACACCAGGAGCAACCCAAAGAGCTCCCAAGATAACCACAGACTGGATCTCCTTATCAAGACTTTATAAGAATCCTCTGCTCACAATGACTGGGAGTCAGAACTCTCTGCATTATTCACTGAAATCATGTACTGCAGCTCAACCCACTGTTCACCTCTGCTTCTTGGAAAAAGTCCTTCTGCAGACAGCTGGAAACCATCTGTGACAGCAGCAGAACCAGCTGCAAATACAGGGAAATTCTGGGAACAAAACTTCAGTGTGATAAGTATCTCTCCTGGGCAATACTGGATTTAGACACATGTCAAGGTTGTTAGACATACTAACAAATCTACTTTTAAATTAAAATAGATTTCTTGCTAATTAGAGAGTTCACAGAATTTTTCCTCCTCCTGCTTATTCACAGAAAAGCTTCCCTTGTGTGATCATAGTTTGTGAGTTAGTTATAACAAATAATAAAAAATAGTGACATTTCTACAAGTTCAACATCAAGTCTAAACATTCAGCTATTGACTACTATAATCTTTCACTGTAAACAGCATAGAGAGTTTCTCAAAGTAGCTTTACAGGAAAAGAAGAACAGTTTTATTTAGGCTGATGTCTCCATTTGAGATGAAATGATATGCACACGCTACCCAGAATCTGTAACATGCTCTCTCCTACCACCACTTCTCAACATTTCTGGAGTATTCCAACCCAAGTGCCAGGAGCTCATTTTCCTGACTCCATTAGGAGCTCGTTATCTAATGACAGGCTGATATCTCCCCTTGTCTCTGTGCTGTGCAATCCTTGACCAGCCAGGGGCTCTCTGCAAGCTCTCAGTGCATTTGTTAAAGCCAGAAGGTACAGCCAGAACACAAGGTAAGAACGTGAAGGATGCAATGCTAAAGCATTTGCCAGTTGTAACACAAGAAAGGAAAAGCCAGTAGCTGCTAAAGCCAGCGAGTGCCCCCAGGAACTGCAGCCTCAGTGAGCTGTGCTGGGGTTGGTACTGCTGGTAAAAGCAGCACAGCAGATTTTTTAAGAGGAAACTAAAACCCACGTGCCTCTGATCTTCCTGGGAAGAAGCTCTGCATTTCCCTGCTGCTGGACAGCCTGTTTTGCCATGTGCATCCCCACAGAGAAGAGTCATGGAAAAATGGAGAATTTGGCTATTATTTCATGGTAAAAGAATTCTGACTCAAAAGAACTACAATTTTCTGCACATTTCCATGCAATGTGCCCAATTTCCTGCTGTACTGCCATATAAGTACCTTTCTTTAAGTGAGACAGCATTTCCTACTATCCTGTCCCTGTGTCTAAAACTCAGTCATAACATCATGTTCATAATTTAAACCCCTGCAAAAAGCACACATCACTGCAGTAAAATCTTCTGCTACAATAAACTCTGCTTTAGACTGAATTTATTCAAAACCTTTCTCTGAAATAATATGTTCTCCTCTAGAAAATAACACCCACATAACATGGCAGAAGA